TGCAATGGTCTGGTGGTCGTCAACGCGTTTGCTGATCGCAAGGTCCCGGGTTCGAAATATCAAGACATTCTTAGCAGCTGCACTGAGTCAGTAAATTGGCAATATTTCACCCCGGTGCCTCGGAAAGCACGTAATGCCCTTTGCCCTGCGCCTGATCTCCCGTCGAGTAAAACGCTGCTGCCCATGTTCTGATTGGTTTCACACCCACGACACCAATTAGGCTAGTGGATATTTTATACCGCCACTACAGGACTTGCGATTGGCTGTAATGATGATAATAATAATGACAAAACAAATGAAGGTATGTTAAATTTTGGTATCGTGATAACTGAAAACTTAGTGCTTATGCTATACACGTCGCAATTTGAAATGTTAATTTACCAAATGCTCAAGTATGAATAAAATATCGTTAGGAAACACTTAACTGACAAATTAGAATATTTGTAGAATACGTAAGGCTACCGAGAGCCATTTCCAATCTATCTTGTACACTCCTACATCTTGTAGAGTGATATCACACTTGATGGATGGTAAATATTTACTAATCTTCTTCGGCAGCTTGTAGTATGTTTTAATGGAATCTCGCTTCAAGATATAGCCAACTTTTCAGTGAATCCTCTGACATATGGTTGTACAGCGGGCACACGCTCGACTTTGGCCCTTAGACCATTTTACAAAAAGTTGGAGTTACATTCCATATGTAAGTATTTTTACTGTGATATATGCTTTCTTTCTAATATAATAATTAAAAATAATATCGTAAATAATAATTGAGAACTTTACAGATAACGTAATTGAGTACATAATAGTACATGAAAATCGTAGTGATAATTAATGTGACAAGCTGTGACTGTGATGTGCGGATCGATATCGATAATTTTTCATTATTATTCATTGAAAAAGCATTAAAATTTGTCATCAAACACTCAACTAAAGAAGATTACCTATTAATATAATAAAAGTGTAACTGAATTAATTAATTTCAAGAAATCAGCTGTTAGAGTAACTCCTTCGAACATAGGTGATTTCATCACATTTTGGCAAAACAGCAATGCATCAGCTACTCTTCTGCTAAAATTTTAGGCTGCAAGGTGGTCCATTCATCATTTTCATTTTGAAATATATATGATTTGCTTTTAATTTATTAGCAATATAAGATAACTCGTCTTCCTGTAATTTTTGGAGTTTTTGGACGTATGACCACGGAATTAGATTTTATTTTGAACAAGTTTCCATAATGTTGAACAGAACTACGTACTTATTTAAGCATGTGGAAAGAATTAAGAAAAAATATAGTTGCGGCCCTGAAGCTGTATCTAAGGTCGTTTGTACTCTGAGTAGAGTGCAACTCTTTCGCCATGGAGAGGTTGATGTTTGTACAATTACATGTTAAAGCCTTTATTTCTATGCCTGTTTCGTGAACAAGATGGAAAGCTGATGTTACTAGCCGTACTTTTAATTCAGCCCTTAATCCAACCCTTAATCATAAAGTTGGCTATATGTACTTTCCATGATGTATTTATAACCGTTTACGTTATACTCATCGGAATTATCGGATCAAACCCGTACTCAACATAGCCATAATGCTTTTGGCTGCTAGCATGGTATTCCGTCAATTGCTTAATGTTTATTTCATTCATGACGAACATACAAAAAAATTTGTATCAGGGTTACTCTCTCCTCTCAATTTTAATGTCGTCAGCGCTACCTTGGTCGGCCATCGATGGTACTGTATCACTTAATCAATGTCCGTGGTACAGTCATATATGTTCCAAAACTTTTACGTACATGACGATAGGCTTTTCGTGAGTATTAATTAAGTGTTAGGGCGAAACATCTTAACTCTGGAGAATATTTAGTTCTGAGCATTTTCCATTGTTACTTTTAAGTTTCTATTAATTGTCATTTTAAAAGTTCGCTTTCTTCTTAACTTTATGTAGGTATCTTTTGCTTCGAATACCGTTCTAAAATAGACGATGTTGTACAATCACTAAGATCAGCCTATAATAAATATATTTTTTAAAATAAAATACTTGTACTTTTCTACTGTTCTTAGTAGTAGTCATCTTCAGAATTATCATCATTACAGCCTTATACAAGTCCACTACTGAACATATGCCTTCCCAAAGGATTACCACAAAGCACGGTCATGAGCTGCATGCGTCCATTGAATGTACCAAGCTAGCACTCAATCTAGTGGGGTGCTGCCTCACTAGGTTGGGATTCTTATGGCAGAATCGCTGAAGGACTATTAATCACTATGCTCAATGACCACAATAGTGCCTCACAAAGAATAGGTCATAAGATGAACATGGACAAAATAAAGATCTTGTGTAACGTTTATGTCACGCCTATGCCGGTAGTTGTTGGGAGCACTAAGCTCGAAATTGTTGACGAATATGTTTATCTAGTACAAATATTCCGACTAGGTAAGTCCAATTTCAACTAGGAGGTGAATCAACGAATTCAACTCGGCTTGGCAGCACATACACACACACATTTTCTAGTCAAGTGTACCACAAAACTTGAAAATGAGATTGTACAACCAATGCATGTTCCCAGTAATGACTTATGGATTTGAGACGTGGTCCTTCAATGCTGGCTGTGTGAGAAAGCTCAAGGTCGCTCAGCGAATTATGAAGAGGGATATACTCAGGGTTTCTCTGTGAGATAAAATTAGAGCAATCAGAGTAACCGACATAGCCCAACGGATTAGTAAGCTGAAGAGGCAATGGGCCGGCCATATAGATCGAAAACCGACAACTAATGAAGAAGCAAGATTCTCGATTGGCAGCCTCGTACCGGTAGGCGAAGTGTAGGGTGACCCCCACTAGATGGGGTGCAGCCTCGTAAGATATGCAGAAATTCTATGGATGCGCCGTGTCTGGAGAACCGTGCTTGTGCTATTCCTTGGGGGAGACCTATTCAGCAGTGGACACTACGTTTACCTAGACGCGGTCTCCACTGTATAACACATCTACTCCACCAGTGTAACTTCTTCGACAGACATGACCAGTCCATTGTCACTTCAGTTTACAAACACGGAAGGCATCTTGGTTCTCTGCCGGATTTATTTATTTCCAATTTTATCTACCAGAAAAACTCCGAGCATAGCTTTTTCTATTGTTCATTGAGCGACTGAGTTTTTGGAGTAGCCGTATTATCAGTGATTACGTTTCAGCACTGTAAGTGAGTACGGGTAGAATGCAAAAACCAGGTGCAAAGAAAACTTCTAAATGCTGCTCAGCTTAACTGAATCCTCCGATCGGCTTCTTTATCGGAGTTATTGTTCCCTAGTTGCAATATCTGCCCGAGGTAGGTATGTTCCTGAACAACTTTGAAAATTCCACCATCAACAGTAATTGGAATTGGCGTGATCTTTGAAAATAACTTTTGTCTTGTTCAGATTTATGTATAGACCAACATGTCAGGAGGATTTATTCAGTCTGTTCAGCATGTCCTGAAGTTCTTGCTGCAATTCTGCCATGACGATGATATCATCAGCAAAGCGTTAGGGAGATGTACTCGCCGTTTTTTCCAGTCCAACGTCTTAAAAAACATCTTTCAGTGCATTTGTAAACAGTTTAGGGGATATAACATCCCCCTGTCTTACTCCGCGATGCAAATGAATTGGTTTTGTTTCATTGTGCTGTACTTGGACTGAAATGGTACTGGTGTTTTAAAGGCATCTCAGCACTTCGACGTACCGTCAGTCAATTTGGAACCGTTGAAAAGAATCCAGAACAGCCCAAGTTTCAATGAAGTCAAAGGCTTTGTCATTGTCCACAAATGCAAGACACAGAGGCTGATTATACTCTGTTATCTTCTATATTTATTTCCGTACTATGTAAATGTGATCTATATTGCCAAATCCTCCTCAAAACCCAACCTGTTCGTGTAGTCGAAGATTGGGCAAAGTGGCGCACCTTGGGAGAGGCCTATTACCAGCAGTAGAAAGCCGTAGGCTGATGATTGATATAAATAAAAAGGTCAATTTTTGCTAGTATAGACTGACATCATTGATAGTACCTTATTTTCGTTAATAAGTCACTTCACTTAACAATAATAAATAGAAGATCTTTTTTTCAAAATGACAAAAGATTATAGTACTTACTAATTATTTCACAATTTTTTTGTATAATATGTCTTTAAAAACTTAGACCATCTTACGTTGTGTAAGTCCTTTTTCTGCTAAGTCTTTCACCTGAAATGGTAGCCTCTTCCACCGCCAAGCAGCCAATATACCTACTGCTATTTCCCAGTTTGAAATGTTATACGGCCAGAATAATGGCAGGTTTTTGACTGTATGTTTCCGTGTATTGTACTGAAAAACAGTTTTTTCACATACATTTCTACGATTGATTATTTTGTGCTTTATTTATGTTTTTGTAGCAATCAAACAACAATAAGAGCAGGAACTTTTTAGAATACAGAAAAGAGTACTATGATGCAAAAGAAATTAATCAGCTTAATCAGAAAAGTACTTTTAGGATAACTGCTTTAAAATTCAGTTGCAAGATTCGACCCTGACAAACATACATTGCAAGTTAAATAAAAAAGCTTTTATTTAACTTGCGATGTATGTTTGTTATATTATTATTAATGAATTGGCTCATGATCATTCCATGTTTGGGACAGAGGATAATTGATAGAATCAGGCGTTACTTTGCGGAAATCCATTATAGTAAAAATATTAATTAATTTGCAACCTTCCGCTAATTAAATACAATGATGTGTCTTACCTAGATTGAAGGTAAGACAATCCAGGTAAGACACATCATCATATTTAGTTAGCGGATGGTTGCAAATTAATTAATATTTTTACTACAGAGGATAATTATTCTCAATTGAAGATTTATGAAACTATTCATTTGTTATCATGTATTGTAGAAATTAAAAACATTTCTATAGTACTTTAGGTTTTATTAACAAACAAATTGAACATCTCAATTCCATAAATTACTAAGCCATATCATAGGTTCACATACTAAGAAATTGACTTAAGGCTTCAAAAATTCAGTGATGGCTTTGGTAACGGTAGCCTTGCAAGCCTCCTCAGAATAGTCGTTATCTACGAATTTGGATTTCTCTATAATCTTGGAGTCCTTCAAGTAGTTTTCAACGCTTTCTTTGGCCGCACCCTCAAGAGTTGTCTTCCTAGACAATATCCAAGCAAAAACTGAAAGGAGTAGAAATAAAATAAATTTAAAATTTTCATTCAAATTATATTTTTGTAACATGTGATTCAACGGGGTTTGCATTTTGTTTTGTCCGTCAGTCAGATGTATTATTTTTGGAGTCTTATCATGGATAGATCCAATGTTAAAAATTGCACTATAATAGTGTTAGTTATGTGTATTAGTTAAGTGCTCTCAAATCTCTTAAAGTACATTAAAAATTTAATCACATCTTTTGATATATATTTTAAATTGCTTGCAATGCCCAAACATATTGATGATTGTGATCGAGTAAGTTTTGACAATCAGTTAAGCATCAAAAAACCAAGCTACACTTGATGTAAATTACATTATACTAGCTTTTCCCCGTGACTTCGTTCGCGTACAATTTATTAAGATTCAATTTCATGGGTTTTAATTTTTTGCGCGGATTCCTAATTATTTTTCTAAGATAAAAGTAGCCTCATCAGCTACCATTGAAAGTCCCGTCAAAATTGGTGCAGCCGTTCCGGATATTAGCCAAAACAAACAGAAAGACATACAGAAATTTTAAAAATGATTTTTTTTCGTTATAAGTATCGTGTATATTTCCATATACGTTAATTATTAAGCTGTTATTTTGACATTACAAATAGACACATCAATTTTATTTATTTGTATATTTATTGGGTATTACATACCTTGATGTTTATTGGTGTCCTTGAAAAATTTGCAGCTGTATACGATGCTGTAGTTCTTGTAGTCGGAGTCCACAACAGTCATGTAGGAGTTCTTAGACACACCTATTACACGAGTAAGATAAATAAGTTACCTCAATACCAAATTTCAACTAAATTACTAGAGATGGGCCGAACATGGATTTCACCGAATACGAATATTCGGTCGAAAGTTGGGTAAAACTTTTACCCAACCTAATATTCGACCGAACATTATTCGGCAGGATCACCTCAGTACCTAATCAATTTATGTCAAAACTTGTTACCGTCAAGCGCCCGGGTATTAGCGCAGGACCCTGCGCCATGCTCCTCCGCCACACCTGACATATTATTGCATCATCTAGTACTGAGCAAATTGCCGGCACAAGCTTATTATGTTTTGACTATTTTTGTGAGAAAAAAAGTACTTCTTTGTGTTATTATTAGTGGAAATTGATATTTATATGATAATTATGAGTGGCAGGAAATCTACTATTTAGACTTACTTTACAGAAATTGACAACCAAAGTAAAGTGAATTGTACTAATGTAATGTAATATTTCTTTGTTTGATTCCAAAAAAAAATTATCAAGCTTACTATTTGATATAATTGGAACTACATAAATCTACAGTACCTCAAAAACATCACGCTGTATAAGTAGATTTAACTCATAAATAAAATATACTTTCAACACTAAATTTTGCAATTTTTCAAAATTGGCAATACTCAATTCGTACATTTCAATACAGTGGACACTTTGAGTACCATTTTAACGAATATTTGGTAATTTTGCCGAATATTCGGCCGAATACGAATATTCGGCCGAATACGAATATTCGGTAAAGCTGCCGAATATGCCGAATACCGAATATGAAACGAATATTCGGCCCATCTCTATAAATTACAGCATATCGAATATTTATTGGGTAATTATATAATTTCATTATATGAATATGACAATATTATTGTAGTAAGGTTAATTATACGTGGTAGAGTCACGCTGCAGCTATATTTGTTGTGGCACGAATGGGTTGGCTCGACCGAGGTAGGACCACGCTCTCACAGAATACCAGCGTAAAATAGCAGCTTAAGGCTGCTGTGTTTCGTATAGTGAGTATAGAGAACCGGAGACCCTGTTTACTGGAAACGAGTCATCCCATTTTAATCCTCAGGGGTGACAACGTATCTGCATTTATATTCTTAATCGAGGATTAATGTAGATGTTTATGGGCCACAGCAACCACTTACCATCAGGTGGCCTGTGTAATAGTTTGTCACTCTATACTATAAAAAAACTTAATTTACAAAATATGAAAATGTGAAACCCCGTAAGGGTATTTAAATTTAAAAGAGCGTTGTTTTTATTGTAGGTACTAAATATTCACTACTATTCAATACCAACTAACATATTTATTAGCATTACTTGTTGTAACATATTATTTTCTATAATTATTATACATACATTTACAATTCACGTAAAAACACACAATCCATTGAAAATCCTCACTTAAGTGTGGTTAAACTTAATTAAAGAAGCAGGAGATTCACTTATAATGACGACTTACCTCCAAAAGTGTAAGTCAACATCAACTTTCCAGGCTCAACAAGAGTGAGGTCACCTTCGATGTATGACTTGACGCCGTCAATCACATGGGAGTTCTTCACCTTGGTCTTGTCTCCGTCAACAAAGTATTCAGCGGTACTGCACTTGCCTTTTGTACCTTCTTCAGTAGCATGAGGGAAGCGGGCGATTTCGTACCAAGTTCCTTGGTACTGTGGGACGAATTATAAAGTTAATATTAAGAGTACTTTTCCGGTAAATTATTTGAATATTGGATCTTTGTTACTGTGTTAAACGTGGTAGAACCAGACAGCAGCTTTATATAGTTGCAACACGAGGGGTCTACTCGACCGGGAAAAGAACATCCTCTCACAGAAAATTAGCATAAAATAGCAGCTTAATGTTGCTATGTTTTATGCTATCAGTGTGAAGAACTGGATACCTTTTTACTACTAATGATGCATTTTGTCTTGGTCCTCAGGTTACAACGCATCTACATTTTAATTCTTAGTGGAGGATATATTGGCTATTGGCCACAGCACCCACTTACCATCACGTGAACTGTGTGCCCGTTAGTGATCCTTATCCTTTAAAAAACCGGTCTTAATAGAATGCAACAACTATCAAAAACAACTTGAAAGACTGATGCGTGCTGAACAGGTCAGACTCACGATAATGAGCATAAAATACTTGCAGTTGTAATTCCGCTTCTATCAACGCCCGTAATTTCTTCAATATCCTCTCAGAAATGAGAGGAGGCATGTGCCAGCAGCGGAACGTATAAAAGATGTAACTTAACCTAAAATTTATTTAAACTTTTATAAAACTAAGCATGAATGCACTTACTGCTGGGAAGTCAAACTTTTCTATAGGCTTCACTTCAGGGCAGGGTCCATCGTAAATAACTTCGGCGGATGCGACAGCGATGAAAGCTAACACCAAAAAGCGAAACATTTTAATATCGGATAAATGTCGTTCCTGGGAGCTAAGCGGCCAATGCATGCACTGGTAACTTGTCCACCATTTATATACTAAAAATTCTTGGATCAAAGGTCAAGAGCGAAATTTAGTGTTAATATATTGATGCAAATCATTATCACGGTTATTTTGTCTGATACTTTTATTTTCCTTACTTTCATGAAATGGATTGTTTTGTTTAAATTATTATTAAAGCCTAAGTTGCAATTAATATTATTAGTGTAAAAAGCCTACATTCACCTCCTCTCATTTGTAACACAATACAATTTCAAAATAAAGGAAAATTTAAATGAAAAACAAAATTAAAACAGATTTGTGGCAGACTGTAATGATGATTTATTTATTTATTTAATATAAGGGATAACAAACTAAAACAAAATAAATATTGTGTAAAAACTAGTTCATAAAAAAGTAATGCAGGCAATTACAATTATCCACAACTTACCTACATATTATGTACATGGGAGCAGATAAGGTGAGAGCGATACGGATAAAGAATAACAATAATTACTTAAATAACAGAATGTAGTTAGGTTACAAACTTAAATTATAAATTTGTGTATTTTAAAATAAAGAAGTTGAATAAAATAAATAATAATAGTAATGATAATGATGATGATGATGATGATAATGAACCCTTAGTGCTCAAGTATTACACTGGTTTGGTCCTGCTTGCTTGTTCATTATATTTAACAAATAAGATCTTTGGGCCGGTTTAAAGAATGTACCACAGTGAAGACAGTATGTTTTTCTTTTACACTGTATACGATGTTACGCAATATCTCCGTCAATTATTAACTTTATTATTAGTGGACCCACATAAAAAACGTGGTGGACGGGATTTGCCTCGCGCCTTTGACAATGCTTTCCATCGACGTCCGTACTTTTTTAGTCTATCATAAACGGGATGGTAGTACAAACATCTCTTGTAAGCCGTGATATCTATTTTCTACAGTCGCTTCTTACGGCATTCACGGGAGGAACTTATTTTTCTTATTTAATCAAAAAAAAAAGTCTGAGGTGTCCCAAGTGTAAGAAAATATGTAAATGGTGTAAAAAATATAATCATCTATATGTATTCTATATTTTTATAGTCTAAATGTGCCAAACGATCACACAATCCACCTGATTGTAAACGGTTGCTGTGGCCCATAGACTTCTACATCTATCCTTGATTAAGAATCAAAATGCAGATGCACCCATAAGGATTAAAATAGAATCCCTCGTTTCCAGTAAAAAGGATCTCCGAATGAATATTATTAACGTACTCGTCCGTTAATAATATGCATTAATATAAAATAAAACATAACATAATAACAGAAATAATTTTAATATTACAATCGTAATAATATACTCCAGACTGACTGACTTTCGGTCATGGCGGTCAGTCTCAACGTAGAACAAGATTATAGTGTCCGTGTGTGTGCAGAAAACTCTGATGCACAGTCTATTTCCTCACTTGCTTGGTCCCATGGGACGGTTGTCCGACGTGACCGGAGATAGTACAGATACAAAACCCAATAAATAATTTTGCACTGACCCGGGATTTGAACCCGACTCATGATCTCTAATAATCGCTTTACTGATGATATCGTTGTCATAGCAGAATCGCTGCAACAACTTCAGAATATGCTGAGCAGACTAAACCAATACTCCCGACTTGTTGGTCCGTGTATGAATCTGAACAAGACGAAATTTATGTTCAACATTCGTGTCATGCCAGTTTCAATTGCTATCAATGGTGACCTTGGGTTCAACTAGGTAAAAATAACTTCGAGAAAGAAGCTGATTGGAGGATTCAGTTTGGGTGGGCAGCATTTAGAAAGCTCCGTCAGGATTTCTCATCACCCATACCACAAAATATGAAGACAATTATGCTGAAACGTTGATACCGATAACGACGATACAACTACTCCAAAAGCTCAAAGTCGCGCAAAATCGATGAAAAGGGCTAAGCTCGTAGTTACTCTAGTGGATAAAATTCGTAGTTAAGAGATCTGCCGGGGAACTAACATTACTGACGTGGCTTTCCATGTTTATAAACTGCAGTGGTAATGGTCTAGTCATGTCTGTCGCAGAAGTGACAACTGATCGAGTTATGGAGTTATGTTATAGAGTAGAGATCACGTCTAGGTAAGCGTAGTATGCGACGTTAATTAGAACTAACTAGAAGGAGCGATGATCTGTGCATGTTAACTAGCAGACACTGGATGCGTGCAGCCAAGGACTGGGCTAAGTGGCGCCGCGGGAGCGCTCCTGTGTCAAGCCATTTACTGCCACCGACTGATGATGTGTTTCTTATGGAAACTTTTCGAAGAATGAATATTCATACGAGCAGACGAAAGCCGTTATGGATACAAAATATTATCTAATATCGAATCGCTTTTGAAAACGGATTCAAATTCTGATTTTAATACATTTTAATGCAACCTGTTTGGAGGTAATAGTTTGAAATACGTATGACATTAATTCGAATCTATTCCACTTGCATTAGGTTTACACTAGTTATGTTAATCCAGCAGTCGACTGTTGCGGGCCGATGAACAACAAAGTAAGAAGACGAAGTGTATTAGTCCGTATATAAATAATAAATTGCATCAGCAAGTTTATTTGGTGTCCAAAACTTAAAAAATTAAACAATTATTTTTCTTTTTAACTCATTATCTAGCTGACAGAATTCGACTTTGAAAGAATAATCTTTTAAAAAAATAGTGCGTCGCTATTGGTTTCGACACCCCACGGAGGAAGGAAAATACTTCAAACGCATCCTCATTACTGTAAACAAAATGCATCGTCAATTGCCGGCACTAGACCTTTGTGAGGAAGGTATTCAGGTTTCATAAGATTACTTCATAATCACATTCAATCACTTGGTATGTAACATAATTATTGTTTTCTATAAGTTGACTTGCGATAATTTTTAGATAATTTTTATCTTTTAGTTCTACTTATTTTTCTTCATCGGCGATAAGTTTCAATAATAATATAAAATATTTTAATAATTTATAACATAAGTACTTGTGAAATCTATTCATCTGAAAAAGAGTCTGTCCGTAATATCGAGATAAATAACTTTTACCGCTCTCGCAAGGTAAAAAAGGCGCGCCATTTGTAAAAATTTTGTCTGTCTGTCGTACGAGCAAACACTCATATGTCACCCTTACTGTATAAAAAGAGGATAAATAAATTAAATATATTCTTCTTATATTCTTTTTATACGTGGTAGACCCAAGCTGCAGTTATATTAGCAGTATAGTTGTACCACGAATGGGTCGGCTCGACCGGGGAAGGACCACGCTCTCACAGAATACCAGCGTAAAATAGCAGCGTATTGCTGCTGTGTTTCGTATGGTGAGTGCAGAGAATCGTAGACCATTTTTACTGGAAAAGAAATATTCCATCTTAGTCCTCACGAGCGGCAACGCATCTGCGTTTTGATTCGTAATCGAGGATAAATGTAGATGTCTATGGGCCACAGCAACCACTTACCATCAGGTGGAAACGAGCACAAGTTTGTCACCATGTCCTATAAAAAAATTATATAAAAAGTGATATCAATAATTTTATCATTATTCAAAAGTCATAAATACCAATCGGCACTTACTATCAGTATTTTATTTGTATTTATCTGTTTTCTTGTGACACCTGCTATATCTGTTTCTAGATAACACAACATATTATTCATTTTGTTAGTCATAAGACAAAATAAATTCACAGAAACGAGTAATACTTTAAGTTATGTGCTTTATCTGATAAAAATGCAATTAACTTTTTTTTATTAAATCACCTTTATTCTAACCGAGCCCACAGTCCACCTTATGGTAAATAGTTGCTGTGGCCCACAGACATCTACGTCTATCATCATCGTGAGGACTAAGATGAAATGTCTCGTTTCCAGTAAAAGGGATGTCCGGTTCTTCACACCCACCATACTAAACACAGCAGCGTTAAGCTATTATTACGCTGGTATTCTGTGAGAGCGTGGTCCTTACCTGGACGAGCCGACCTATTCATACATACAACCATAATATAGCTGCGGTGTGGCTCTACCACGTACAACTTACTATCATGTATTTGTAGTTATATATATAGTTAGTCTAAAATTTTCCTTACGTGAACATAACTAGCGTAAGTTTTTGAATGTGTTAGGAGCTATTTGCCTAGGAGTTCGTCTTGGTAGGTACCACGCCCTTTCTTTCTTCTTCTATCTCCAATGAATATAATAATATTCTCTACGCTAGAGCCACGCTGCAGCTACGTTATGGTTTTAGCACGAATGATTAGTCTCCAGGCTCTCACAGAATACCAGCGTAAAATAGCAGCTTGATACTGCTTCGTATGCTGGGTGTAGATATCCGGAGACCCTTTTTTACTGGAAACTAGGCATTCCACCTTAGTCCTCAGGGGTGACAGCGCGTCTGCGTTTTGAGTCTTGGTCAAGTATATATTTAGATGTCTATGGGCCATAGCATCCACTTACACTCTGGTGGACTGTGTGCTCGTTTGTCACCCTTATTCTATAAAAAAAGAAAGGTATGGAGTGCCAGTATAATTACAAGCTGTTCAAGCCATCGTAGTCCTTGGAGTTTACAACGCATTTGTAGTCCCCTTTGCTTGAAGTTGGCTGCACGTGTCCATGAGCAGCAGTAGCCACTTACCATCAAGTGAACTGTAAGCTCATTTTCACTTGAGTTTTATAAAAAACAAAAAATGGTTCCACGACGAGACACCGACCTCTTCTAATTTCTGAGAGGATTGTTTACGCTGTTAGTTTACACTGCTCCAATGCGTGTTCCAATGCCTTCGGAATATTGCAAAGCAAATGGCAAATCACCACTTAAAATTGCTAAAAAAAGAGCTTAGAGCTGTGAAAACTAATATTTCTTTAGAAATTATACAAGACTATGTATACTGTAATGAGGTCATAGTTTCTTATATCAAAAATCTAAGTAAGCCTAAAATGAAATGTCAACCAT